CTTACAACTGCTTGGAGTGTCTCACCGTCACCCCAGAAACTGTTGTTTACTTCTAGTTTCTGGCAAAAAAAAAACGCCCATTGCAAACAATAGATTTGCCTAACAACCACAATGTTCTCTTTGCAACCCCCATATTTGCTTAACGACTGCCATAAGTAAGATCATAAAATCTGGAGGGGTCCCATGAGTGGTTATCTAAACAACCGAGAAAACTTTCGACTGTAATTCCAGGCTCAATTACGGTCGGAAGTCAAGGAATACCACCGATACATTTGTGCAAACATTGTGATGATTAGAATCAGAATGAGGAAAAGAGGAGAAGTCATTTCTACAATAGTCACACTCAGCAGAGCATAATAAATGTTCTTGCTTCAAATTCTGCATAAAAAGGAGTCATGTAATAGATCAGAGAGAGAGAGAAAGGTGGCATACTGTTAGGTGTACTATTCATTGATTCATCAACCACTTAAATTAATTTGTTTTGATTGATGGTGCAATTCCCGAGACTGGATAATTACACTTGAACTTTTCATTTTCTGAATCTGTTTCCAGTCTTTGCCAAAGGCGGGATCTCGTGTGGTATTAAAGCAAAACGAAGGCATAATGTTGGCATCAAAATCTGAAATACGAGTGAGCTTAAAGTATCAAAGAGAGGGATTAAATATTTTACCCTATGCAGGTGCTCCTCGACTTACGATCACAATTGAGCCCAACATTTCTGTCGCTAAGTCAGACATTTGTTAACTGAGTTTTGACCCATTTTAAGACCTTCTTTGCCACAGTTGTTAAGCGAATCCCTGCAGTTGATAAGTTAGCTCAACCTTGACAACTTGAAGTCCTGTGGACTTCAAGTTGCCAAGGTTGAGAAACACTGAGTTAGCAACACTGTCGTTAAGCGAATTGGGCTTCCCCGTTGACTCTGCTGTTCAAAAGGTCATAAAAGGAGATTGCGTGACCCCTGGGATGCTACAAATCGTCGTAAATACGAGTCAGTTGCCAAGCTTCTGAATTCAGATCAGGTGACTGGAGAGGCTGCAACAGTCGTAAGTGTGAAAAACATCTCACTTTTTTTCAGTGCCGTTGTAACTTTGAACAGTCACTAAACAAAACTGTTGTAAATCGAGCACTTCCTGTACAGTCGTACCTTGGTGCTCAACTGCTTTGAAAATCATCCAGTTCGGTACTCGTTGAATCTTGATGCAAAAATTTGGTCCCAGTACTCATCGTTTGTTTAGTACTCAATGCACAAACTAGAACTTTTTAGTGTCAGCTGCTGTGTGACTCTTATTCCTTGTGGGGAAAATTTGTTTGGTACTCATCATTTTTGGTACTCATCCTGCCTTCCGGAATCGATTAACAATGAGTACCAGAGTACCAATAGGGATGCGGTGGCTCAGTGGCTAAGACGCTGAGCTTGTCAATCAGAAAGATCGGCAGTTNCCATTTATTCTTTGCTATGAACCTGCGCAAATAAACTTTTCCTTCTCCGAAGAGCTGGCTTGTGTGTCCTGTCATTTCCTACAACACACAGGTATCCAACCGACTAGTATTTGAATAATAGAAACATGGATTAACACAGACTGTCTCATCGGATTCAGACTCGTACAGAAAACAAAAAGCTATCAACAAGGAGGAATATTAGGAAGCCCCCACTCTGCCGAAGAATTTACAATGACATCGCAAAGAAAGGGGGGCTTCCAATTACTTTTTGCCCAAGAAATGCAAACAAGCAAAGCTCCTTTTTCCTATGAAGCAGGTTGGGCTGCAAGAAGGGAACTGCCCCAAATATAAGCAGTTTGCCTCCATATTTAGATCCTCATCTGTTCACTACCTTCACTGCTATATTATCTTGGCGTGAGGGGTCCATGATGCTCTCTGAGCAGGCTTGTTTTCTTGCAGACGTTTCACTACCCAACTAGGGAACATCATCAGTGCTAGTAAGGAGTGCAAACAGCAGGTTACCTAGTTGGGTAACGAAACATCTGCAAGAAAACCAGCTCACAGAGAACCAAGGACCCCTCATTTCAACCTTTATTCTCCTGTATTGATATCTTAGTGTGGTTCTTAATTGCAAATGAAATTTATTAGATTTGTTTGCTGCCCATCTCGTTTTGAGGTGATTTTCGGCGGCTTACAAACACGGAAATAAAACCTTAAAATATTAAAAGCCGATATATAGCTTTGGTGTCTTTATCCTGTCTTAATTCAAGCCTGGAGATGTGCAGAATTAATTGCTTTTTCAGCAAGAACCTGTTCTCCTTGTACAGCTGCACAGGCTTTTAACTGCCTGTTATCAAATTTTCCTAAATTTTAAGAACCGTGGCTTTTGCACCAAAGTACATACATGTACACCAATACTGTGAATGCATTTTAAATCTTTATTGAGAAGAAGGATGTGTCGGCTACATTCACACAACATGCTTAACCTGGGTCTTGCATTAACCCAGTTTTATCCTGGGGTGACATGTAAATCCAGTGGATTGCTTGCCCAATGCATTAAGCTACTAGGGAGGGGTGGGGAAGAAACCGGGTTAAGGGAAGCAAAGCACGTGTGAATACAAGCTGCACGCCTTCACGTGTCTGAAATAAGCCTCCGCCCTGCTAGTTGCCTTGGGGGTTGATAAACCCCGCTTTAAAAATCCCTACATTCTCGCTTCTGGCAACTGCGCATGCGGGTCAGAGGAGCGACTCTTAATATTCTTATCTCTTTGGCTCGCCGGGCCGCAGAGCGCGCTAATCACAGCCCATCTGCGCACGCGCCGTTATGAACACCGGAACCACTTCGGCCTTGCTCTTCCTATCCTTCCCCATGGAGTTCCATAGAGATACTAACAAAGAAATATCTAGTTTAACGCCCGGAACTGCGTGCAGAGGCGTCGGGGGCGGGTCGGAATTGAAACTTTTGGCGGGTTTTGAGCGCTGTTTCTTCTGGGGCGGAAGGGAAAAGTTGCAATCCAGGTAAGAAAGTCGCAGCTCCGCCAAAACAACGAGGAACAGGCTGCAAAAAAAGGGAATCGCAGCCAATGCATGGGGGGGGGGGGGAGAGGTTTGGAAGGCAGGGCAATTACATTTGCAAGGATTTTGCAAGGCGGTTACATTTGCAAACAATTACATTCGCAAGGATTTTGCACGCCTTCGGGAAGTTGCAATTGCAAAAGTGTTGGGGTTTTTTTTTTTTTGCAACTTCCCTGGGTTGGAGGGGAGCGGGGGGGGGGGGCAATCTGAGCCTTTGCCCCTAAACAAAGTGTAAAAAAAAAATTGAGTTTCCATCCGAGGAATGGGAGTTGTGCAAGGAAAGAGGGGGGAAATGTCAAATTTAAAATCTCATTATTGGGGTTGATTTTCAAGCAAGGGTGGAGATGCTCTTTTAAGCTTATTGCAATGATTCTCAATCTTAACCTTAAAGATGGAGGGGGATTTCAATTCCCAGAAGTCTCCCCCCCTCCCCATCTTCTGCCACCTGCATTTTTCATCTCCTCATTCTCTCTAGATTTAGTTACACACCAAGAATTTATTCATTTGTTTGATAAATTTACATGTCAGCCCATCTCACTATCCAAAATATCCATCTTACACGGCATAAAAGCAGAAAATCTAAAAAATATTTAATTGTCTGTTGTCTTGTTAAGTATCTGTTAATTATCAATTATGCCTTGTTAATTAATTAATTGTTCCCATTTGACCTCACCTGAAATTCTTCAAGACTGCATCGGGGAAAAAAAAAACCTACAACCTCTGTGGCAATTTTCAATTCCTTGAATTGTTTATATGTTGCAGTTTAAAATAAAGGTTCCCCGAAGCTTAACTCCCAGCTCTTTGGACTTAAAATTCTCCTCCAGTGCTTTTTCCTATTTCAAAACGCTCAGTTTTTTACCTGGTTTCGCAGCAGCTTTGCATATATTTCTATGCTCTTCTTCCTCACCTGTTTACTTTTTATGAGAATCCACAAAAGATTATATTTATTGTTGCTTTTATAGTCCCGGAAAACAAGAATTCTTCTAAATCTTTCCTGGTCTTGCTGAAAGAATGGACGGTGAGTACTGAATTCTGGTGTTTTTTTTAAAATTTATCATATCCCTTTTAGCACAGCAGGATTCTGCANTTTGAACAGCCGAACTGCAGAACTGCAGAACTGCAGTCAGCTGAAGTAGCCTGCAGTGCTGCATTTAACCACTGCGCCACCTCGGCTCTGATGAACAAGTGTAGCAATAACTTAGCAATAGCACTAGCACTTAGACTTATATACCGCTTAATAGTGTTTTTACGGCCCTCTCTAAGCGGATTACAGAGTCAGCCTCTTGCCCCCAACAATCGGGGTCCTCGTTTTACTGACCTCAGAAAGATGGAAGGCTGAGTCAACCTTGAGCTGACCAGGATCGAACTCCTGACAGCGGGCAGAGTTCAGCCTGCAATACTGCATTCTCACCACTGCGCCGCCAATTAAGCCGACGGTTGCAAATAAATAAATAGGAAGACGCTTGTTCTCCGTGTTTCCTCCAGGGTAAAACGTTCAGCATCTGGCACCTGAATGACCTGCGTGACTTCAGCAGGTCCGTCGCCCTCTTCCTCTTCGGGGACGTTCACAAGGAACACTGGAAGACGGACCAAGGCACTGCTGTGGGCCTCCTCAACGCTAACCAGATGAAGCCCAAGGAAGGATCAGAGGAGGTATGGAGAAGGTTGGGGCTGGAGGCCTCTAGGTCTTTAGCTCAACAAACACCTCGTGACTCTTTTGGGTAATGTAAGGTTTGGGTGGTAGAAGAAAAGGAGAAATCTGTGCGAGCTTCTCCTGGGTTTTTGAGTGTTTCTTGACTCGGGAACCAGTCCTGAAGTGAAGTAGGAGAACTGTCTCTCCTGTCGGCTATCATCTTTGAAGGTCCCTGGGCTGAAGGCCAGAAGAAAGTTCTCTGAACAGTGTTGAGGAGCAGCTGGGCTGTCTCCTTAGAAGAGGACCTCCTTGAGAAGGTCCTTCCACTCGCAAACTTTTCCGTGCACAGAACAGATAGTTTTGGGTGATCAGGACACAATCTTGAGTGTTTTGAGTTGTCCGCAGAAAGAAAACAAAAGTTGAATGAAGGGGAATCCACGTGTTCCAGGGTAACATTGCGGGATCCACTCAGGGTCGGGGGTTTTGTCTTCCAAGTTTTTGGACTTCTGGAGGTCATCTTTGTGAAACTTCTCTCTAGCGGAGTGTTTGCTGCTCATTGTGTGGTATTTGTATGGCTTTTGTTGTTGTTGTTGGCAATTGGGGTGTTGATGGTTGACTATTGTTGGCTGTTGTTTCTTTGTGTTGCCAGGCCCACACCTTCTAAGTACTTGATAAGCTGGTAGTAAATCAGCTTTTCTGTTGACTGATGGGGGCCTGTTTCCCAGCCTTCAATTATTTCCCTGGCTGTTTATGTCCCTGCCCGTCCAACAATCTTAGTTAGCTGTAAAATTGAATGTGTGTCCTTGTTCGCTGCACTCTGCTAGAGAGAAGTTAGGCTCCATTTCAAATACAAAACCTCTAGGGGTCCCGGTGACCGACCCAGATCAGATCCTGCAAAACAAAGCTGGTTTGTTCCAGATAAACCTTGAAACACAGTTGTTCTTGGGCCACTGAGTGTGGAAGAAGCGAAGAGTAGGAGAAACATCACTTTAAGGAGCAGCAGTTTCAGTACTGCTGAAAATGAGTCCAGGATCATTTTAGAGGAATTAAATCTTCCTCATCGGGCAGCCACGAGGCCTTTGGTGTGGGAAAAATCACAGCTCCTTTTCCCAAGAAACCGAGCCACGATATTCGCCTTCCTCCTGCCACGAAAATGTGATTAAAACAGCGGAGACAATATTTGCTTGGTTAGGGCCTTTCCTCTATCACGGTGTTGGATATAGATTGGTTCAGCTTCCTGAAAGCCAAAACTTTCCCCCCTCGTTCTTCTCAGGTGTGTCTCTCCGTCGATCACCCCCAAAAGATCCTGATTTTGGGGGAAGCCATGGATTTGGGGACTTGTAAAGCGAGGAAGAAAAATGGGGAGCCTTGCACGCAGATCGTTAATCAGGTAAAAAGGGTGTTTGGGCTCCAGATTTTCATACAGGTAGATATTACCTACAAATTACAATTGGGGGGGCGGGAATCAGGAAAACGTTTAAAGGCAAATGATCCCCCTCAACGGATGGCCAAGAACTCTCTCTCGGCTACGAATTTCCTTCATAAAAATAACACAGGGACTCCTCGGTTTAATGACCACAAATTGAGCCCAACCTTTCTGTTATTAAGCGTTCTGGCCTAGGCTTCCTGGGTCAGTAAAAATCACATGTTTAGTCCAAAAAACCCTCTTTTTATTTCAAAGGCTGTGAATTATGTCCATTCGTAGCCCGTAATGAGTCCCAAATAGTTTGTAGAGTCCGACAGAAGTCTGCCAAAGTCTTTCGGGAGGAGGCTGATAAGCACCTTTATCTCCCTTGAAACGCTGTCAAAGACCTAATTGGCAATTAGCTTTGCAAGGCCACACGGAGCACAGAGTCAAAACAGTTTTGTTCTGCCAACTCTCCATTCTTGATTTTATCACATCTTTTCTGTATTCTTGTTTCGTCCGTTGGGCCTTCAGTAGTTTTTTGTTCTTTACTTCGTTTAATAGATGTT